TTCTATCAAATCTTATTGTGTATGTGATCAACTATATGAGACTATAATGAAGCTTTTGCTAAATATCTATTTTCGATAGAAACAGACGGTCTGACAAATAGTACTCTATGCTTCGGAGGTGTTTCCTTCTCTGCTGCGCAAACTTCTGCACAAATTGATAGCTTGAAATCTACTATATCACATCTCGGATATCTGCTCAAATATAAGTCGAAAAACTGGTCGTTTTCTTTCGATTATCACATCAAACCAAAGAGGCTTTAGGCTGTTTCATTTGTTCCTTCATATTTCAATTGAATTGTAAATAAAGTATGGCCACATCGATTAAAGAAAAAGTACCTGTAAAAACAAACAAATTCAGCAAATCGTTGCATACAATTGGTGGCCAAGGCCTCGGTCCTTTCTTTTAAATATGAATATCAGAGAAACAATAGTAGCTACAGGAAATGTTAATTCAAGATTGTGTGGAAGGAAGGGGGAATGTGCGAACCGAATGGTGTGGGGGGGGGGGGGGGGGGGGGGGGGGTGGGTGGTGTGGGATGTAGCACATGCGACACGTCAACATTCAATTTTCTAATGAAATTTTCATTGTAATAAAGCACGAGACGGAACAGATCCAACGCGTGGGGGGGTAGGGGGGGTAGGCGTAGGCGTGGGTGGTGGGAGTCTGGGTAGACGGTGCCACGCCCATGCTTAAGTATTCATTGGAAACACAGTGTTGCTCCCCCATTCACTGCCTTCCTCTCTGTCTCTTCTCTCTCTCTCTCTCTCTTGCTTGTTCTCTTTCCTTCCAAGTCAGATACAGCCCGGACAGCAACCGAAATTTCTGTGTAGGGATAAGGATTGCTGGCAGTGTATGTGTGTTTTTTGGTTCCACTCTCTAACTGACTCTCTCCCTCTCCCGCTCCCACACCCACTGCCGCTCTCTTCTGGCGAAGTGCCTCCCCAATACAGAGTCCAACATGACCTACATTTTCGGGTCCTGGGGCCGCTGTAGCTAAGCAACTTCTGGGCCTGGGCCTGGGCCTGGACCAGGGCACATGCACACTGGGACTGGTTCTGGGAAGCAGCCGCTCTATTCCGCAACGTGAAGTAGCAAAGGGGCAAAGAACCAGTCCAGAAGGCACGCAGCACGCATAGGCAAGTGGATGGCACCTTCCTCCCTCTTCCTTTCTTCTTTATACACCCCATTCAGGCCTTATAAAAATTGTTTTCGGTTGCTTATTGGCAACAAATTTGCGTGCCTTGCATACAGAGCGAGAGGAAGAGAAAAAGAGACTAAGAAAACACAGAGCAACCTGATAAAGGTCTCTCCCACAGCGACTTCATTAGAAAGTTTCGCAAAAGCAAAATTTACAAAAGAAAAATATAAAAAAAGAAACCGAATCTTGTAGGCGTTAAATGCAGCACACAAAAAGAATTTATTAACTTGTCGGAGAGATTTTCGGTAAGATTTTCAGGGGGTGCTGGGGTTGGTTAACCACCAACAGCTGAATTTTTTCGCAGTCTCATCAATCACTCGGCCAGGACATTTGGTGTTTGGCCTAAATTAAATAGCCGAAGTACGGGTAAGGCCAGGAGGTAATAGCTGGATGACAAGCAGCTGGGAAGTGGCCCAAAGGAGAGGGGAGAAGGAGAGGGGCGACGGCCCAGGAAGTAACATTGAACACGACCCCGGTGCACGTGCGGGCATTTTGCCATTTATTGTTGACTTTGGTCAAACAGAAACGTATACAAAATATAACAAAAATATATAGAAAGATAATATTTGAAGATGATCCTAGCTGACTGATAGCCAGCACGTGCCCGGGATCATGTGAAACAAAATATTTTCCTTCCTTTTCACAATTAATGGACAGTAGGAACAGTAGTCTGCGCCTACCATTGGCCCAAACAGTACGTGACAGCAGTCTAGGGATTCTAAATATAATCCACCTTCTGGTCAAATGCCTAGCTAGATCCCCCAGGGGGAAGTGTAAGCTGATTTAAAGGTATTGGAAGAGAAATCAATCATAGATATTACCCCGATAGATTTTCATTTCCTTCGCCACGGATCCTCCTCACTCACTTAATATTTGCCATGACATTATGGGTCGCTAGTTAATTGATCAGACACCTTTTGTAATATCATAAAAGTCGTAAAGAGACAGGCCAAGAAGGATCGAAAGACTCTACAAGCGTGGAGCAAGGCCCACTTTATTAGCCAAGTCAACTCTTCGCGGAGCGCCTAACGTCATTTTCTGTGTCGCTCCATTCACAGTTCAAGGAATTCAAATTACAGAGAAGGCTGGGAGTCAAATCAAACGGAAGAAAGGCTGAGTAGAAGCCAAAAGTTTTTGAGACAACTTGAGCGTGGCACCCAGCGGCAGGTTCCTTCCAACGGTAACGACTCGAAGTACATGCTAGACTGCCCCGACTGCACAGACTCACAAACTAAGGCCTGAAGAGGGACATTCCCGTGCAAAGTGTACTGTCACTGGCGAACGGAAACGAGCCAGGAAACAAAACGAAGAAAAAAACCATGAAAAATTCAACAGAAACTTGTCCAGAAATCGGCCGAGTTAGTTCGTTGGAGCGTTTGGGTGTGACTTCATTATCAACTGAGAACATTTCCCTCAGCTGAGGTCTTTTCTTGGGGGGGGAAGAGCTGTGACTAATGTATCCTGGCAACAGCGAAACTCAATTGTCGGAAGAAAGCCGGAACGAACAGATCCCCCACTAACATCACATGAATTCCATAAAGTTCCCTCAACTGTTCTCAAAAGAACAGGAACTATCCACCTTTACCCACCTAAACAATATACTACATATGTATATGTATATACATAGGTATGTATGTACTACGAGTATCGCAAACATCTTTTGCCGCCTGACTCAAGGGAAGCCTCATGGGGATATCTTAAGTTTCCGTTCGCAAAATAACCAGAGTGACCTTCCTATTGCCAGACCAAGCATTATAATAACACTTTCGAAAGGGTTCTCTATGGGGTTTCATGCGGACCATCCTCTTACCCACCATTAAAACAGTCGCCAAGCACCGTTAGCCTGCCGTTTCTCGTTTCTTGTTTCTCGTTTCCCTTTCCTTATGCCCATTGTTCCATGCCATTCCCGTTCTCCCTCTCCCTCTTTCAGTATCTAACACTATCTCGTCCACCCGCTGCTGGATACGTACATACATACACATACATATACCCTAAAGTAATCTTCCAAGGCAAAAGTAAACCACAAACAAATTTATAGCTGCAATGCGGCCAGGCCAAGCATAACGGGGAAACATTTCTGTGAAATTTGCACTCACTGTCGTAGATAGTCATGAAGGAGCCGAGCCAGCGAAAAGAAGAAGAAGCAAAAGTCAAGTAAGGACTATGAAAATATATAACAATAAGCAGCAAAAGCTGTGAAATGCTGCCAAGGCAACGGCAACGGCCACGGCAGCGGCAGCGGCAGCGTCGTGTCCTCGTCGCTGGTTCATAACGAAGCCAGCAGACAGCTCGAAACGGTACAATGTGGGCCACTGCTCAGTGAGAGAGCGCCTCAAAGAGAGCACCTAAAAGAGAGCTACGGTTTTCGGTTGTTCCTTTTGGGCTGCACATTCCTTGGCTGTGCAGTACCGATAGAGGTTGTCGTTGTTCTGCTGTGGCGCTTTGCATGGCCATTTGTTACGTATGTGGAGCAACAGAAGCAGAAGCAGCAGCAGCAGCGGCAGAGCAACAAATCTGCTGCACACTCTCTGCTGCGCTCTTGTTCTCTTTCGCTTCACTCTCTCCCTGAGCTGTTTATGCGTCATTTTTTTTAGGTTCTCTGCTTTAACTGGCTCTCTCTCTCTCTCTTTCTGTCCCTTGGGTGGTTCGTCTATCGCTCAATGCTTTTCTTACCATCTTTAGCAAACAAAAAAATATTATTTCTTGCTCAGTTTTATTTCTTTCCTTTTCTGGCATTTTATTTTATTTCCTTTTTTTGTTTCTTGTATTCCTGCGCTGGTTCGTCAGCATTGCAGCATTTTACTCAGACAAGCACATTTGCTGGGGTTGGCTTTCGGCAAATGCTCGCCATTCATTTTTGTCATCGCTGTCGCTATCGCTATCGTTGTTGGTGTTGGTATTGGTGCTGCCGCTGCCGCTGCCTCTGCCTGGAAGCTGTGGACTGCTGTTGTTGCTGCTGTCTGTTGTTTCTGTTTGCTGTTGTTGTGTATTCTTTTGCCCTCTCCAGATGCCGTCTCTTACTTGTTGCGCTGACGCCTGACGCAGCAGCTGTCATTGCGGTGGCTCTTCGCCCTGGGAAATGGTTTTAGTGGAATAATGGTGGAGGTGTGCATGGAAATGGAAATGGAAATGGAAGTGGCAATGGGAATGGGCCATGGGCCATGGGAAGTGGGTAAGGAAATGGAAATGAAATGTGTTTAACAAGGACGGACGCTGTGGAAGTTCTTTTGCCGATGAACGGGACCGATTGCGGTCTCAGTGGGCCCCGGGATTGGGGGGGTTGGATGAAGAATTACCTTCTCACTTTTAGAGTGCAATTTTCGAGTATGAAATTTGCATTGAATGTTGTACAGCTTCAATGAATATTCAATATAGGGAATGGTATCAAGATATGTGTTTTTTTTAAATAAATTTCATCATCGTCTGGTCTGATGAAAGTCTCCACTCCCCTACCGCATTTGCGTTTATTTCATGGCCTTTTGGTTGCCCCCTCATCTGGTAGCTGCCCAACGCTCCCCCTACCTCTCTCTCTCTCTCTCTGTACTCTGTCCTTCAGAATTGGACTTCTTCTTTGGCTTTCATTCATGCCGTTCATGCAGTTGACATAATGCGACATGGCCAAAACCACCTTCTTGACAGCATCATTCCCCCTGCCATTGCCTGGTGGAGAACTTTCCGCAGGCTGCAGAGGAGCCTCCCCAAAGCGCACCCCCAATCAAACAAGTCAATCCCAGCGTTGCAGCGGTAACCAGGCAACAGTTTAAACCAAGTAAACAGGTCTTTTATAATCAAACAAAAATTACCTGCTTGGCTCAGAACTGTAGTGGCTATGAGCAGAGACATACAACCGACTGATTACACCTAAGAACAGATCAAATACAGATAAAATGGGTGAGTTATAATGAAAGTTTTCCGATTGAAACGGCATACATATGTATGTATGTATGTATATGTGTACGGTATACCCAAACCAAAAACCATCCTTTAGAGGGAAGCGCTCTGCGTACCGTGAGAATTGAGTGCGTGCTGAAATTCCTCCAAGAAGCTATAGAGATCGTTAAGATCTCGGTGCTGTTGCCCAAGCTGTTTGCGGATCCGCCAAACCTGCGGCGGGTGCTCGAGGGCACCTCTTACGAGGAGATCCTGAAGCCAGTTGAGGATCTGTTGGAGAGTCATATGACCCAAAGCGCTTCAGAGCCCACCTTTCCCATCGACCACCAAACGATCAGGATACTCGATTACTTCCAGAAGAACTACCAGATCTACAAGTTCTTCCCCCAATTAATGCGCAACCTGAGCGACAAGGACCGCACCCTTATAGCCTCGTTAGCACTCCTCTTGGACATTGCCAAAGAGCATTTGTACCGATCATCCAAGAGCGAGATCAGCAAGGAGCGGATGCTCCATCAGATGTACCACAAGAACGAGGACATCCGGAAGAGGCTCCACAACGTACGACGGGATCTAACCAAGCGCCGCGTTATGGAGAAATGGAGGATGGCGGCCACAGCAATCTATCTGGTAAAGATCGAGAACGACCTGGCCTACAAGAAGTGGCAGAACAATGTCCGCATTCAGAATGAGATGTGAGTGATGGCCTTGTTCCACCGCTCTTCGATCCTAATACTTTCTTTGTGTCCTTTCTCGTTAGAACAAAATGCAGCCGCGCCATGCGCACAAACCACAGGAACAGCTTGGAGAAACAAAAGGAGCTGGAGGAGCAGCTGCAGATTGCCAGGGAGGCCTACGCAAAGCTCACTCAAAAGCATCTGCTTGAAGAGCAGGACGCTCGCAATGAAAAGTAAAAGATCCTGCCCCCATTCCCATTCTGCCCCCACCCTCACGACTCTTTCCGCCTCTCCTACAGGAACAAGCTGCTGTTGCAGCTTCAGAGCCTGGTGAAGAAGTACGACGCGAACATGGGGGATGTCATTCGGGAGAATCTGGTGCTCCAGGACCAGTATATGGTGGCAAAGAAGGAGCTCGATAAATTCATGGTCGTGTATCGGCGCGAGGAGGCAGTATACAATGACATCGTTGTGCGGCGGGAGCAGGAGGAGCGCCGACGCCAACAGCAGCGCCTCGTCGTCTTCATGATGAATCGGGCGGCCTCGAAGATACAGAAATACTGGCGGAAGTGGCGCAAAGATCAGCGCAAGAAGAACAAGCGCCTAAAGAAGGCCAAAAAGGGCAAGGGCTAGGGAAATAAATATATATTTTTTGTTCATTAGTTTCGTTAGTTATAAAATTTATTCTCCGAAAATAAACGGGAAAAAGTTCCAGCCACAACGAATGAAAGACTTTCCATAAAGATCCGTATGGTTGTGCGTAGCATACTGTTTTGGGTTGACAATAAACTGGAGTTTCCCTGGCATTGATGGTTAAAAGGGAAACCTTTACAGAACTTGCAGCCAAAGCATATCCAATTGGATTAAACAAATCCGAATTGCATTTGATCTTTCAACGAATTCCGATATGTTTTTTAAGGAAAAGGGCACGGTGCACGTGCACCCCAACATCGCTTGAGGGGCTTCCCCTTCGACAGCGACAATCGAAGAGAAAGAACTGGCTGTCTGTCCAAATGTTTACCCAACACGCACACACACACGCGCGATGTGACTGAGCAGGAGACAGTGGGGGGGAGAGGGCTGCGACACAGACAGAGTACGAGCCGCAGCCGAAATTCATGTCTTACGGGGCAAACGAAAAATGGCGCAATGCTGTCGTCGCCAGCGCCAGCGCCAGCGTCAGCGTCGACGTTGTCGCCCTTTGACCCTGCCCCATGTTTGCTGCATTGTTACTTCATTTTCGTTTTCGTTACCCATTCGTCTCCTCCTCATCCACCTCCACCTCCACCTCCATTTGGCATGTCTAATTTTCGCAGAGGTTAACATACTTAACTTGTTGGCATGCGTTGCAAGGCTGCTGCTGTCGCTGTCGCTGTCGCTCTTGCGATTGCACCGAACGGCGCAACATTGCGACACTTTGCTGCGGCAAAAGAATATGTACCGCAGCTGGAAAATGCGCAAAATCGTTGCTCCCCATCCCAGTGGAATGGACACAAGTGTGTGCGCCCCTCACTATGTTTTCGCTCCACTGTGTGTGTGTGTAATTGTAATTGCAGATATCTGCTGCCTCTTCTGACCATCGCTATCGCTGACCAACGCTGAGCGCGGATTAGTTGGATAATCTGAGAGCATTTTCCGTGAGACAACGACCGAATAATACGAAAGGAGCACTCGCTAAATAAATTTAAATCTGTGTGTAGAACTTGGGCTACCTCACTCAATCAAGTAGGCTCTTGGTTCCATCCAAATTAAACAATCCAGACAGACTCATTTTTTCTTGGCTTGAACCGAACAGAGGATCCCATCCAGGGCCATGTCCAACAAAGATATCCTGCCCATATACCCTTCGCGGGCCAACTCCGTACTGATGAAGCTGCGCGTCCAGGCCGGGCAGCGCGGCATCAGTCTGCTGAAGCGGAAGCGGGACGCCATCGACCTGAAGCTGCGCGAGCTGCGCCGCAGCATGCACGCCAAGGAGAACCAGGTGGACGACCAAATGCGGGCGGCCATCTTCTCGCTGGCCAAGGCCAATCTACTGGGCACGGACTTCAAGCCGGTGATCGTGGCGGACAACAAGAGGGCCACGGCCGTGTTGCGCAAGACCCAGCAGAAGATCGTGGGCGTGCCGCTCAACTACTTCGAGCTGGAGGCTGAGGAGCGAGGTGCCTTCCCGCTGGCTGGCCTCAGCTGCGGCGGAGTCCAGGTGCAGAAGGTGCGGACGCTGTACCTCGCTGCCCTCAAGGACTTGGTGGCGTATTGCTCCCTGGACTACATGGTGCGGATGCTGGCAGCAGCCTCGCGGCAAACTAACATGCGGGTGAACGCTCTGGAACACGTGGTGATCCCACAGCTGGTCCGGACCTACAACTACATCTGCGCCGAGCTGGAGGAGTTCGAGCGGGAGGACTTTTACCGCCTGAAGCGCTCCCAGGCGAAGCAGCTGGAGGCCAAAATCGCCTTCACAGAGCTGATCAAGACCAAAAACATGACGCCGGAGGAGCTTGAGATTTATCTTAAGAAAGGCGTCTATGTCCACCCAGTGGCCGATACGCACTTCGACCTGGACGACTTTGACGCGGAGGCGGTCAGAGACCGGCAGCGCCAGGCGCGACTGGAGAGGCACGAGAGGCGGCAGAGGGAGCGCCAGGAAGCCGAGAACCGGGGCGAGACGCTAGTTTCCACTTTCAGCTCCTTCGTCACCACCCACAGCATTGTGAACTTCCTGCAAAGAATATCGCACCCGCAACACCGGGATTCGGAGGGACACTCCAACTCGGTGGATAAAACCGAGCGACTGCTTCGATCAAGTCTACGCCAAAAAAGAGCTGAATAAATTTCCCGTTTAACCCAATCGTTCATGAATTAACCAACACCTGTTAAGAGTCCGCTAGATAATATATCCGCTGGATAGTATGTACATATGTATGTACATATTTGAAAGAAATAGTTATCAAATGATCCATTAGACGTGACGCTACACACCATTTTCCCCCTTCTCAACTGGTCACATTATTTTCTTATTAAATCCATCTAATGCAGGAATCCGCACGCATACTTACAGACATATATGTATGCATGTTTGCTGCAAGTAACCACCGTTATACACGTGTTCGTGAGAGGTGCACTTTGCTATGCACATAAGATAGGGCCCTGCCGACCGCTGATATAGCCTATCAGAATTTATAATAAGGTTTTTGCATCAGGAACAATTATTTGGTACTTTTGGTATATATTGTACTTATATTGTGTATATTTCCTTGACTTCGAACAATTATTTTTTTCCACATTTCGTACCTTAATTTTCTATAGAAAACCCACGTATGTATGAATCTGTTTCTTAGCCATGTACATATATGTACATACATATTCAACAAATTGCCCATGGTACGCCTTTGGTTAAAAGCGCCGCACTATGGTCCGAACGACCACTTTTGTTGGCCAAAACCTAATTTTTCAAAGTCAAAACTGAAACCTGGTTTTGATCGCTCTGCATTAGAAAAAGATCGACCATTAAATCTGCGTACCAGAAATTTCCATAGATGGCGCCACATTCGCAAAATCAGCTGTGCAACCCAACTGTTTTTATAGTAAAGCACGTGAAGGGAAAAAGTGGCAAATTAATAACCACTTTAGATATCTCAAAAATTGAAAAACGCCAAGACGTGATTAAATTTTTTTGATGAATCTTAATCTGTCGGGTTCTTACTACGTGTTTTGAGTTTTTAACTGTCTCTAGTAGTTCTGATGTCTTCGTAATTGAAGGTTAAAGTGAGGCCTTCAACATGTGCCAACTTGTAATGAAAAGTAATTTTTGAAAAGGTGTACAAAGTGAGTCCTACCTAGTCCCACCCTGAAACCTTTTCTGTGTCGTAGATTAATAAATTCTTTTTGAAATGTATATAGTTAGAAATGCCACTTTTTACCACAATTCTTGGAATTTGCATTAATAGAGCATAACCTCAAATTCGAAAATGCAGATTTGTTTGCCGAATGGAATTCAGAGAAGGGTAAAATTATCAATTATTTGAAAACGGATCATAAGGCGACATATCATATGAAATTAATAAAGCTTTTGAAGATACCAGCAAGAAAATTTGTTACCGTTTGGCAACATACCGGAACAAATGCCGGTAAAATTCAAAGATGTTTGAACGAAAATATGTGGATTGGCCACAAGCCTTTGTTATAATACATTTATCTTTATGTCCAAATATGCTAACTAAGTTCGTAAGGCTGTACCGGACCCAGTCGGAAAGCCGGCACATATCTCACTTAACGAGGCGTTAACCTTGCTTCTAGACAAGGATTTCGGCAATAATTTACGGAAACCTTTAAAAGATTTTATTTTTATTTAAATCAAAATTTTTTTTAGTCGTGCAACGCCGTTTTCTTAAATAAAATATGCTTAATACTTTTTTTCACTATAACTAAAAATTTAAATATGCATTATTAAAAAGAGGGGCGGTGCCACACCCATTTTTTTTCTTAAATCCATTTCTTATTGATTATATGTATCCAATACAAAAAACTAAATGAAAAAATCTTGTTCCGTTCGGGAGTTATTAATTTTGGCCAACAAAAGTGGTCGTTCGGACCATAGTGCGCCGGCGCGACCGTTACAGGGGAAATATTAAATATATTTTTTGTCTGCCTTACCTCGAGCTTCGGTTTACGAAGGAACGGCAAAGAAAAGAGCCAGAAAAGGCAAAAATTTGCAGATAAGAGTGAAAAAGAGCGCGAGAGCAGAACCGGTTCGCAGCCAGTTCACTCTCCGGCCAGTCAGTTCACTCTCCGACTTGCTCTCGTCGTTGTTGCTGTCCGCTAGTGCTGCCAGAATCTCCTAAGAAAAAATTGCTAGATTTGGGAAGAAAAATATATATCTTAAGATACATAATTGCGAGTACATTTTTAATAATGTACCGATACTTTGTGAACCAACTATTAATCGTAATTTGTGCCGTCGATGTATACAAAATGTAAAAAACAAAAGAAGAAAAATACAAAAATTGCTAGTTTTAAAATAAAGTTTTAATTTTAGCTAAAATATATTTAAAAATTGCTAGGTTTTTTCCTAATAGCATTTTACAAAAAGGTCAAATTTTTGTAAAAGTGGCCAGATCTAGCTACTAAATTGCTAAACGGACAGCTCTGCTCTCCGACTTACTCTCGCCGTTGTTGTCTGCATTACGAGGCGCTCTCTCTTTGCTCTCACGGCTGCGCTGCGAATCGGTACAACTATATTTATGAGGTATATATATTTGTACAACACGTATATATAACATAACGGTAACGGCAGCGGGCACAGTCGAAATTTTGATTTTCTCGTGAACAAGTCGCCTGCGGAAATTTTGATTAGGATCGTGAGTTGCCCAGAGTCCAAATATTTCACCCAAGCACACACTTTTCCAAGGGGCTGCGAGGAGCCGAGGAAAAAAAGAAATAAAAGTTCCATCTGCTCTTTTGTGCCTCGACAAATTCCGCGAAAAACAGCCACTAAAACCAAGCAAATCAACGCCAAAGAATATATGAAAACGAGAAATTGAAACAAATATCTGTATAAAACCCGAGTCCGAGCAATGCCTATATGTGCCAGCACTCACCAGATACTATATAAACGAAAATCTTGCCGTGTGCGCGCGTGTGTTTGGCATATTTCGCACAAAAGCAAAAAGAAAAAAAATTAAAATAAGAAAAGAAAAGCAAAAACCAATGAAAAGCAACAAAAAATTATGCCAGGGAAAATTTTGTATTAAATTCGGCAACGCAGCGGCAACGCCAGCAACAACACAACAGCAGCGCGGCAGCGTGGAAAACATATCACAAAAGTCTCCGCGGAGCGTCGTGTCTCTGTCTCCCCTTTGGTTCTTTCGTTTGCCAATTGTTGTTCCGTTCCTCTTCAGCTGGAAGAAGTTGTTGCTGCCGCTGCCGCTGTGCCGTCAAGGGTATTCCAGCAACCTGCGTGTTTCCTCACACATCCCTCTTCTTCTTGATCTTTGCAGTGTGTTAAGCGCAAATAAAATTCTAGTTAAAAGTTAGAGCGCGCGTTCCAATCCCCCCCAACAACGTAATTCCACTCACACACATACCAACAGCAGCAGCAGAGGCAGCCGCAGCGGATTAACATTTACTTACTCTTTCCAACAACAACACCAAAAAAACAATAAAAATGGTAAGTGTATGAATACCCAAAAATATGTGCATCTCCGTTTTTGTTTATAGAAACAGAATTCACATTTTCCATTGAAATTTCACAAAATTTTGGCGAGAAATCAAAGTCGGACAGCGGCCTCCCATGTGGTGTGCTGTGGGGAGGGGAGATGGCTGGAGGGAGAGGCATCCTCCCATCCAATTAGATGTTGTTTATATGGTTTTAACGGCTTTCTACACACACGATACCCACACACACACACACGTGCACAACCCCTAAAAAGCAGCTGTCCCCGAAAATTTCGTTTACATTTCGCACCCCAAAAAAATATTGCTCGGGGGATAGAAAAACTGGTTTTTTCCTGTTCTATAAAAAATATATGTGCATACATATGTATGTTATATATTAACAATGTTACCTCTCAAAACGTAATGTAATTCTTAAGAAATTACTCCAATTATAAAAGCCGCCACAGCGGCAATTAGAAACGTTTGAAAACCAGGTTCTAATGACAATTTTCTGTCAAAAGCGTTTGCCCAACAATAAAACGTGTACCCTCAATAGGCAGGTTTATTCATCTATTACTGGACGTATCAAATTATTATTTTAAATGGGAGAAAACTTAAAAATAGCAAAGGTGTAATATGTAAAATGGAAAATATCGCTCTGGATATTCCGGTTTGATGTGGATATTCCATGAGTTATTGATCACACTTTTCGAGGCCGCAGCACACACATTCCCCATCACTATCAGGTCTCAATTTAATTCCATGACGCTTTCGGCCCAGGCCCACCCTTCAAGCAGGCAGCTCTTATCAGCATCTCGACAACACCTTCGCAACGGTTCCCCACTCCCTCTGTAATAGATCACAATTGTTGAGGAGACTGCAGCGGTTGAAGGAAAGACTTTCGTCGAGGCACACCACACGCATGGCCCCAGCAACACCTTTATCAGAAAACTATAGAAAATCCCCAATTCCTGCTGTTATCATATTTGAAGTGGGGACGGGATCAACAATAATGCCGCCGGACCCGGCATATTGTTGGTCTTTCCATCCTCTTTGCTTTTTTGTTCACTCCGCTTTGGGCTTGTATTTTGCTTGCGTTTTTATTTACCGCATATTTGGCCGCTAAATTGAGGTTGGAAACGAAATGGGTGAAAAAATTCTTTTGGCTTGTGGAATTTCTTTCTCATTTGCTTTGCGCACGCTCTCAGTTGAACCGTTTCGGAGAGGAGAGCGTACTTCGCCTCGCTGGTTCTCTCTCATAACCGTTTCACACAGTTTCTCTGCACTGTTGGTGTGAGAGTTCTGTTTAAATGGTGTGAGCTTCCTCTCTCTCACTCTCGCGTTCTGCACAGTTTGTTATCAGTTCCGTTTTGTGCTGCGTCGCTAGCCCGCTCTCACTCTCTCTCTGTCTCTCTGCGAGTTCTTTGCCGTTTCTTTTGGATGTGTGTTGGGTATTTTTCTGTTGCTGCTTTCTGCGTTTTGCACTTTTATCTGCGTGCGCTTTCTTCACATTCGGATTCGTTTCGTTTCGTGCCGACTCGTTGTCGCGGCGCCTACCTTTTGTTGTTTTCTTCCATAACCGTTTCATTTGCCGCATTGCGGTTATTTTGCTGTTTCGCTTTGTGCTCGGCGTCCTCGGTCGTCGTCTCTTTTCGTTTATTCGTTCGGTTCGCTGTGTTGCCTGTCTGCCTTGCCCCTCTCGCTCTTTGTGCTTGTGTGCGTGTGTGTGTGTTGGCGGCTGCCTGTTCCACTTTGCCTTTTATTTTCGCAAAAGAATTTTATTGTAACGGTTCAGCTCCCGGCCCCTGGGTGGAGGGGGGGTGTATGGACTAACCGACGGCTGTAAATGAAGAAAAATTCCTGCTAGACGCCACCTAACCACATAATCCAATTTTCCCGTCGCCTTCTTCCTCTTCCTTTTCATCTTGTAGTTGTATGTTACTTGTATTTGGCCTTTGCGCCTGTCTTTTGATAAGCAGCGGTCGGATGCCTAATTTAATTAGCAATTTTTACAGCTCACGCAAAATGCAAACGGCTTTTAATTAAAAGAAATCGTTCTGCGGGCTTCATTGGCCCCTCCTCTCCTCTCTCGATATCTTTTCGACCGCCGTGATTCATGTGTTGACAGTTACAGTTACAGTTACAGTTACAGAGTCTGTGCTTCAAAGTCTGCGTATCTTCCGCTAGAAAGGCCGACGGAAAACATATCATATTTTATTCAACAGTTACAGTTACAGTTGCTCGATTTGTTTATTTCTTTAAAATTTCTTCGAGTCTGTTGTTTATCATTATACGAGTCTCTCGAAAGCCCACAAAATATAAAATTTCTTAATGATATCCGCAGTACATAGCATTTTCTTATGAGTCAGTTTCTTTGGCTGACTTCATCGATCATTCGAATGAAAACGATGTGAGGTGGCATTTGAAAGATCCATGAAGAAACCAAGTTACAGCTAAAAAGTGTACCAAAAAAATGAAGCGTACCATTCATAAAATGAAACTCCAATCCACCGGAACCGAACCGGTTTGAGCAGCCGGCAAAGCGGCACAAACTGCTGTAGTCTGGCTGGCAAACTTTTGGCCCAAACAAGTTGAAACTTGTTGGGAGTTGAACTCTTGGCTTGGCCAACACTTGTTCCCAGAAGCATGACTCATTAGTTGGAGTTGCACAGCTTGAGTCCTGCTCCAAACGTGGCAAGATATTCAGCAGCAAAGAGGGATGTGTCATCCCCCCCTAGCGCTGAGCTGTGGGCGTGTGATTGTGCATACAAATGTGCTACCAATTAGGTATCCATACCCCAACCCTCTCGCGCCACGGATTGCCATTAATGGATCTGCTGGGTGGGTGGGGTCTGTTGTTGTTTGCTACCATTTCGAGAGAGTGGGAGAGAGCCCCAATGCTGTGCTTTAATCTGCGCCGAGCTGCGGGGATTGGGATTGGACTGGGGCTGGGGCTGGGTGGCTTAGTCATGCCCCGCAATGACATAACGCTGCTGAAACATTTTTTATCTGCAAGAGGGCCGAGAGCGATAAGCCAAACAAAATTCAATTGAACGCACGACGCCAACGCGACAAACTCTGGTCCAAAACAGGTGCAAACCCAAAAGCAGCACTTAATTTCTTGACTTTGCTTTCCCGATTAGATAAAGCCAACGATCAAGGGGCGCTATAATTCCATTGCCAATTGCTGATTTGGCTTGACTTTAGTGGGTTATGGGCTGCCTTCCCTCCCAGCCTTCCCTCGAGCACTTTCTTATGGCCAGAATCAGACGGAAGTTGTCCATAAAAATGTTCGGCCCTGCCGCATTTCGGATTTCTATGGTAGTTCATAGTTGTAGTTGTCGCTTGTTATACAAGATAGTGGGCGCATACCGACGGGGCGTGGTCGGGGCTGATTTTACCTTGAAATGCGCTAGAGTTGAGGGCAAAAAATTGTTACCAAATATGATTAGATATGCCTGGGAGGGGGATATTTTCAAGTACATTTCTATGTACTTGTGAATTCCAGAGATCTATTACTTCCAAACATCCACTATCCTAGGAACGATCGGTAAACCCTTCTTCCGAGCATTTTACGATCGTACAGCCATCAAGTGCCCTGATCCGTGCCTTTGCAATCGTCAGCTTGAACAAATCTGTCTACGTCATCCTCTGACGCAAAGTCAAAGTTTGTTTTTGCATTTTTTCCTCATGAATAATGATAATATATTAATAAAAAAACAGCCTATCGCCTGAGCGCGAATGCTTGCTCACTTTTATATGAAGTGAAGTATGGAAATTATATACGGATAAACAATAATTTCATCCTCTCGAGCATGATGAGACGTTGCAAGATCGTTTCCTGCCCGAGACCCTGACAACTGGCACGTCTCTTGTCACTCATCATTCGTATGACAATAAAAATAAAAAATAAAAATGATGGAAGGAATAAAAAACAAAACGGTTTTGGGTGTCGTCTTGCCATTTCGCTTTTCGCTCTTCGCTCTACCTCTGCAGTTTCGTTTATTCAGTAGCGCTGACGTCAAGATTTTTGTGGATTCAGCGGATACTTAACACCTTTTTTTGAGATACCATTGCATAGATACACAGATACAATTGTATCTCGATTCGACTTGCAAACAAGCAGTCGACAATACGCAAAATTATTCAAACAAAGTACAATTGTTCTCCTTTTTCGTCTTTTGTTATTCCTAATTTTGTACTCGTTAAGACGTTTTCGCATATGACATTGAAATCCCCAACCCCATTCCCATTCCCATTCGCAACCCCTTTTCCCATCGTAGTTCTCGTTGAAAACTCATTCTGAAAGTTGTGCCGAGTTTGGAAACAACAAATTTATAGTAGAAACAAAAAGTTGTGCTCGCATTCTAAAGATATATCGAAATATTATATATAAAAATGGTGCGTTTGGATTAGCAGCTTTTATTAAGTGAAATTATGAAACGTTCTTCTAACCGGTCCCGTGTTTCGTTGCATCTTTCCAGGCCGATCAGCTGACAGAGGAACAAATCGCCGAGTTCAAAGAGGCATTCTCGCTATTCGACAAAGACGGCGATGGCACCATCACAACAAAGGAATTGGGAACAGTCATGCGCTCCCTGGGACAGAATCCCACAGAGGCCGAGCTGCAGGACATGATAAACGAGGTCGATGCCGATGGTAAGTGGGGAGATGGGAAATGGTAGATGGGGATTATAAGCTGCATTTGGGATAGACATGGGCCATAGCCAGGTCCCCGTCTATTTATAAATAAGGGTTCCCAAGTCTTTCGGCCGGGGCAAGCGACGAACCAGTCGAATCCCCCTTTAACCCGTTTCTGGCCAAATCTATTGCTGTTCTCTGGCCTAATCCCAGACACATATCAGACCCGCGATACACGGCAAACAATGGGGAGAAAGGAAAAATCATTTTGTCGGCTAAAAATATGCAACAAAAACACGTCATAGGCATTAAAAATAGATGACTGAAATATTTTGGCTCTTGTCTTGTCTTGTCTTTGGCAGCGGCGGCTGTCAGAATTTTGTTTTGTGTGTGTTTTTTGTTTTTTGTTTTTCCTGGTTTTTGTTTTTGACAAAAGGTGGTTGTTCCGTTAGACAGGCTTTTGGTGTAACCGAAACACACATTCTTTTGCCGAAGAGGAAGATCGGTTTTTATTTTGGTACACTTTCTGTATATTTAACCGATTCGTGGGGGAAATCGAGCGACAGGCGCCTCGCGCCAAATATTGAATATGTGTCGCCCGTTTTTATTGCGGGGTTTTTCACCTTTTCGCCGAAAACTAGAAGGCAGCGAGGCACCAACGGTGGAGGAGGAGAGGGGGCGAGTGGTTCCATGATTATTTTATGAAGCTTAATGAAGTTCCAATAGCATTCGTGGAGGGTAATTAGTTGCACATTTTAATTAATTTTAAACCTACTCGTATTTGTTGTTGTTGATTAAAACATTTTGCGGTTCTCTAAAGTTTGTGCAGATTACAAATTCCGCTCGTCTAAACTTTGTCTGGCGGTGCGTTTAAAGTGCCATTAAATTGTTAGTGGCCAATATATTAAACTAGGCCATATCCTGCTCCCTCCCACGGTTTTCGCTTACACACTCCGTCTCTCTCTCTCTCTCTGTCTCTGTCCTTGTGTTTGTCTGCCTAATCATACATGGCTCTTCTGTTGCACAAGAAGAATGAGAGAGGAAAGCGTAACAAGTAAATCAGAAACAGCAAAAAGCAACAAAAATTGTAGCAGGAGGCTGCCTGTAACCCTCTCGCTCTCTCCGTTCATTCAAGTCTCCGTCCTTCTTCTTTTGCAAGTGTTTCTCTCTCTCTCTCTCTCTCTCTGTCTCTCAGTGTGTGCTATCCTGTCGCTTCTCTTGCACGCATGTGCATGAAAATATCCAGGACAAAATCTGCAAAATTTCTGCACAGCAGCGTAGCAGCAGCGCAGACTCCTGAAGGAGCTGTCGTTGGGGAAAGAGGGGCAACACTTGACTGCTTAACTGTTTATCAGAGCTGAAATTGGTTTGGTTTGTGGGGGCTGTCATTTGGGAGTCAACTTTTTGGCAACTTTGTTGGGTGGCAAATGGCCCTCCCATTCAAGAAAATCCTTATGCCGGGAAAGTACACTCTTTTAGCGGGCAGCTTCGACTAAGCCAGGATCTACTTCGTAGCTGAAGATATTTTTTCACGAAGGAGACCACCGCCCTCAAGGCCTCCCCATCAGATGTAGGAGATCAGATCCTATAGAAGTGGACGAATCACCAGCGACTCCACCCACTCGTATGTCCCACTAACGTAGGCCCACTCCTCCCACTCCAAAAAAAAAAAATACAGACACTGACGGAAACATTAAACATTCATTACTTAACATTTTGTTGGCGTCGTCTCCCGGCCCGTTGACGATGGCCAGCCCCAGTACCCAGTGCCCAGTCTCAGACGCAGTCCCCGTCCTCCGTGCCCGTTCCGTGTTGCATACAAACGACCGCATTAGATTCCAGAGGGTGTACGGCGGCAGGAGGGAGTTTTGCATGCAAATGGTATTGTCCAGCGAATATACAAATAAAATTGAGAGAGTGGAACAAAATGGCAAGACCCGTCGAGACGGGGACGGGTAGGGGGTGGGGGGACAGATGACAGACCAACGGAATCACCATGTGTTATTTATAGAGTGCGGCACGAGGCGGGGGTATTGGGGCTGGCGTATTGGAATGGATGCCCCCAAACTAAATTTAGCAATGCCACTGCAGAGAGCAGCGGCGGCGGCAGCAGCACCAGCAGCAGCACCAGAGGGAAGCAAAACTTATTAAAATTTTAAATTGTCTGCAAAATTTTTTGCACTACGTTGCGGAATCACCCGAGTGAAGCGAAAGAACTGAAGGCGTAATGGAAACCGAAAACCTCGCCAGACATGGCCCATCATCATTATGATCATCATCGTGTCGGGGATCATCATAATTGGCTCTGGGGCTCTTCTGCGGGCCCGGTCTAAGAAGCGTCTAACAAAAATGGCAACAAATTTCTCAATGATTTGTGTCTGTCTCGATTTGTGGTCTGTCTCTGTGTGGGGGGCGGGGGAGGGGGCGGGGGTTTCTTCTGGTATTTGGTTTGGTTTCTTTCTTTTTTTCTTGGGGAATTCCTATCGACAAAGCCAAAAGCAACAGAAATCGCGTCAAATGTTTTAAATAGAATCATAAACAAGCGCCCGCCGGCGGCCACCCAACAAAATCCCAAAATCGAAACAGAAATGAACCGAAGTCGATGCCGATGCCGATGCCGATGCCCACCCGTCGATACTTTATTGAAGGAATATATTTTTGGATTTCTATGTTGCCGAATTGAATTGTATAATAATAATACTTAAATTAGCCAGCCCCAAGTGCCATAGCAATTTTTGTTGTACTTATTTCGTATTTATGAAAATTTCATTGGCGAATCCGCAAATTGAATTCGAATCGAATGTGGATTGCTTGTTAATTTGTTATTTTTCCGTTTGAACTTGGGCAAGCATTATTTATTTGTTTTAGATCAATTAAATGCGATTCGATTTCCTTTCCTTGCGCTTTTTTTATAGCCTCTAATTGTGGCAGGTTGCCTCAGGTGTTTGGATCGACGAACAGATTCATTTGTGGAATAGATTTCCCTCGAGGTTTCGCTAGGGTGCAAATACCATCAATTTCATTTGAAGGTCTTGTGGTAACCCTTAGCCCTTAGCCCTTAACCCTTAACCCTCCTTTGTTTTCCTTCATTCTCCTTCTGCATATCTTTGCCATTAAATCTAAATTCCACTTGAGAAAACAAGTTCAGCTTGAGTTCAAAGGAGCGCTGAATCCCCATTTTGTTTTCAGCAATCATATCTAAAAAGTTTTTGACCCGGATAGAAGCCATTTTCGGGAAAGTACGAGTCGTAAAAATACACATCAAAATGATACTCCATTTGGATGGCGAACATTTTCTCATGTTTTTTATTATGCTTACCATTTTATAGACGAAAGAGTCAGGGCCCGGCCCGGCCTGGCCTGGCCTGGCCTGGTCGAGAGTCAGTCAATAACAATTAAGGCCAAAAGTTGCTCCTTCTGGATGCATTATCGCTGTTCAAAACTATTTACCAACTTTAACAGGAACTTTTTCAATTAGTATAACAAGAATTTCGGTTCAACCACTTCATTTGTGTTTGACTTTTTTTTCGTGCTTCGGAAAGCCCCTCTGGAAAATGTTTGGTAAATTCTTTAGCAAATTTTCATTCCGCCAGACCAGGGCCAAAGGAGATAAGCGAGAGAGAGACAGAGAGAGAGAGAGTGATTTGACAGAAAGAGTCTTAGCCAGGCTTATCTTTGAAGCGGCACACGTGTGCCCAGGCCAGATATAGCCCAGTTGGGTGGTGGGGGGGGATGGGGTTGGAATAAGTTTGTCTGGGGCTTAGGCAAATTTGAAATATGCCAGGGATTTGTCGAGAAGGTGAGCGAAGCAGAACAAGGCTTTAAGCAGTGTACACAGCCGCTGGAAAAAAAGAGAGTGAGAGACTTTGCCTTAATCCTAATCCTGTTTGTGGGCTAAAATTATTATAATGATGTTCCCCGAGAGCAGGCAATCAAATGAATTGATTAATTGATAATCTCATTATTTCCCCCGCACAGGCAACGGAACCATTGATTTCCCAGAATTCCTTACCATGATGGCACGCAAAATGAAGGACACCGATAGCGAAGAGGAGATCCGAGAAGCCTTCAGAGTGTTCGACAAGGACGGCAACGGCTTCATCTCAGCGGCCGAGCTGCGTCACGTGATGACAAATTTGGGCGAGAAGTTAACAGACGAGGAGGTCGATGAGATGATCCGCGAGGCTGATATCGATGGTGATGGTCAGGTCAATTACGAAGGTGAGTGCGGAGAGCCGACTGACGGGGGCACTGCACGGGGGTTGCAATTTGTTTGGGTTGCGTGCGGGCTTTGGCCCACTAATTGTATTGTATCGTCGTGCCATTGTTTCACCAAAGATTCATCTGTGACATATCCCATTTGAGTCATGACCGAGTCGCTGTGCGGCACTTGGTTGTGTCATCCGATCATCTGACTCACGTGGTCGGCCATACGCTTGGCGATCACGAAAAGTATATAGAAAGCAAATGAGCATCTCTCAGTATTTTATACGAATTTTTCGTGTTTTGTGTTCTGTGTTCTTCGTAATTTTTTAATTGCTCGAAAATTGAATTTTCAATTGAGCAAACGAAGGAACGTGTTGGTGAAAAGCGCGTCGGCGGAGAAGGGAGCGTGAGGGAAAACAACACAAAGCAATCATCGTGATCATCAAAAAGGAAAAAGCAATAAAACAAAAACAACAAAAAATTGAAGAAAATCGAACAAGTTTTCGAATAGAATCTTATGCCCACTCCCATTCCGGTCTCTTCCCTGAAATTTCCTTTTGTTGTGAGCACACTGTGAGCCAATCCGCCAAAGTAGCTATTAAAATCGGACAATCGCACTGATCTATATACATAGTATATATGTATGTACCTATATCGCGATGTATATTCTGGTATATAAGAGTATGCTTCAAGTTCAAATAGAAATCGTGTTTGGTGCCTCTGCAAGCATTTTTCGGATCAAATAGATTAATCACAAGTAATTTATGAACAAAATACATAAAAATAGCAAACAGTTTGAAACAGCAGGTTCTACGAAACGGGAGAAGAGATGGAAATGCCAACCGAAATGATGATCTAGTCAATGATCGTGATGAGGTTCAGGGGAAACCATTTAGCAGATATTCAGGGGAATCAGATCAGATTTATAATTGAGAATTTAAAATAACAATAACCATCCTTAAAGCTATACGGCGGGATATCCACTTTGTCAATCAAAAAGCCGACTGCTATAGAGAATGAACGCCCAAAGGACTGCCTGCTACGACACTTTCCTCTTTTGAAACATCTCCCCTCCTCCTCCCATTAGCCCAATCTGTAATTTGTTCTTTTTTTATGTCTTTTGCTGAAAATTGAAATGTTTTTAAAAGCAAAAATAAATGTCGCGCGTAAATTCCACATTTAAATGATTAACCAGTAGAGCAGAGGGAGGCAGGGGGCAACCGAGAGGAAGAAACAAGAAATAAAATAAAATATATTTAAATACAAATTTTGCAATTCTGAGGATCGTTCCCTCAGTCAGCAGCGGCTGGTGGCCATTTCGCTTATTGCCAATTAACCAAAGTCTTTATTGTTGTCTTGCGGCTTCAGTACAGGGGCCGGCCCCCATCTCCATTTCCTGCGACACCCCTTTGGACATTTTGCAAGGGGTAATATACATATATCTATATACATATATGTATGGTGGAAACAATGACCGTGTGTGTATGTGGGAGAACATCCAAGTATTGGAGCATGGGAATGAGACTTACTTGGCCCCTTGCCAAATATAAAAATGTTGTCAGAAAAGCAAAAAGGGAGCTGGCTGAAAAACAGCAGCGGCAGCAATGGCAGCGGCAAAAAATGAACAACAGCCTCAAGTCAGAAATCAAATAAAATGTTTAACAAAATACAATGAAGAAACAAATTAAACATTAGCCCAGCAGCAACGTGGCAAGGGACAAAGCGTGGGCGTTTGCCACAAAGAAATTAAAAATATACCGAAGCTTTGGATACCCTCAAAATAGACCAATTAAATACAAATCCTGTACAAACTAGCGATTTGTTTGCTGAAAACCTATAGCAATATTGTGGTGTCCACCAATCGAGTCGGTTGCAGGGCCTTAGGCAAGAGTTATGGGCATTATGGCACTGCTTCTTTATCTGTGCTGCGTGTAGTATACCCTCTCTCACCTGCAAGGCCATGCACAAGGGAGGGTGACAGGGGTGGCGGTGATCGGGGAGAGTATATATAAACAAAGCGAAGAAAGATAAACACCAGAACCACAAAATCGCCAAACATCGTGGTGGAGGGAGCTTGCCAAAAGGCGGAAAGAAAATTCATGAAAATTTGCTAAGCACGAGCGATAGTCGTCCAGCAGAGGCAGCAGTGGCAGCAGTGGGCGCGGCAGATGGAATAGGTTGAAACGCGATCGGGTCTAATTTCATTTTAATTGCTCGCCAACCGGCAGCGGACTCGACTCGCGAGAATCCCCAATAATCGCCCCCAAATGGGCGGTGGGCTGATGTTTTTCGAACGGAGATGTAATCAAAAGGGGCGCGAGCTTCCCGTGGCAAATGTCAAGGTCTATCCGAGGAGCGGCGGGGGTGTGTCGCGGGTATTTTGCATTCTGGGTAAGCCCATTTCCGGGCGGGCCTGAACTTTGGCCCATAAACATTCTTTGGTTCTGTGCGTTCTCCATTCCAATAACGTTTTATTTTTAAACCTTTTATGACCACCAAGAAAATGGATTTTCTTTATTAGATGGGTGTGTTCCACAGTTTTGGAACAGGAATACTCCTTGAGGAGTACTCCGATAAGCCCATAGTTGCGGACATTCAAAGTCCCTGACCCCTGGTCAGAAGCAATCTGGCTAATTACACGTCCCACGCCCTCTTGTAGTGCCTTCGTTCAAATATCTGAAGAATGCAGAGCACAAGAAGAAGAGGAAGAAGTGCAATCAGCGAGAACAGTTGGCAGCGCCTGCGGCAGCGGTAGCGGCAGCGACAGCAGTAGCAGTATCAGAGAACAGCTATTTCTCTTGTTAAAAATAGAAAAATGCAAACACCTGATAAATTGGGGACACACACAAGCACACACACACCATTTACCATGTACATAAGGAAGAGCCTGGCACCGTCACTACCACTTCGTCTTGCTCCCCATTATCAGGCATTGATTGAGTAAATGAAGCAAAACTTTTTTTATCGACTGTGTCGCATCTGCTGCTGCAGAGGCTGCAGTCTGCAGGGAAGTCTTTATATTGCGTTCGCAGCAGCGAATGCTGCCGCTGCCGCTGCCGCTACCCGAGTTTGCTATGCTCTGCCTCTTCCGCTACTCTGGCAGTCTCTGCCTCTCCTTCCTCCGCAGTTCGAGCTGCTGTCTCTGCTCTCCGCTCTCTTCTCAAGGTGTAGTTGACGAAAGGTGAGCTATTGCCACTCTTCGTTTGACGCGACAAACAAAATGGAAACAATTCCCGAAACTTGCGTGAGAGCACTCTCTGGGAACTGTCTCTGCCAGTCTGATTTCTATTTTCGGAAGAGCGAAAGAGATTCTATAATCTCCGAGTCTTTGCACTTAGTAAATCTGCCCTGGCGACACTTTTGTGTGCCAGTGTGAGTGGGTGTGCGTGTGGGTGTGTTGCTGCGAAGTGTTCTCATCGGGCGTCTCGTGACTGACTCGTTTGTCTTATTGATTGGCTGCCTGCCTCTGTAGCCCGTCCACACCACAGGGTGTTGTTGTTGCTGTTGCACTGCTTGTTGTGCTGATTAATTGCCGTCTTAATTTAGTAGAAGGTTAATGACAGCACTAAGCTCTGTTCGATATGTAATTTGCTGTGTCAAGTTCTGCACTTGCTGCCACCTCATGTTGACAAGGCAAAATAGAATATTTCTCTTTAATTTATTACTATCCCAATGACAAACTTAACTAGTACTCGTCCATGTTTTTTGTGCTGTCTCAGTGCCTGCTCTACTTAACGTGTGTTCTCCGTCGGAGATCGTAGAGAATTGTCGTAGAGAATTTCCATACTAATCGATACACTTTTTTCGTTCCTTTCGTTACAGAGTTCGTGACCATGATGACATCGAAGTGAAGCGTTAAATTATTTCTTTTTAAGCCTTTCTATTTGTTTAAGATGTTGACGAAGACTGTAGCTGTGCGCAATAACATCGCGCCACGCTGTTGCTATGGACCCCAGTAAAAGATCTTAAAAACAAAACATAAAACAAAACAACAAAGAGTTAAGCAAAAAACAACAACAACAAAAAGCAACATGAAGAGGAGGAAGAAGCAAAAAAACATTTAAGAAACTTTAATACAAATGAAACCTACACTTAAAGAAACGCAAACGCAAAAGCAAAAGCAAAAGTAAAAGCAAATGCAAATTTAAACAAGCAACACACATGAACGAACATCAACCAAAAAGTCCTGATAAAATTACACACCAACAAACAAATTTGTAATGCAACCAAACAACAACAAGAACAACATACAATTTAATGAAGTCACCGTTTAAAAGAACAACAATTACAATTACCAGAAGTAAATCGCATGTTATCAAGAAATACTAAACGAGAAGAACAAGTACAAGCACAAGCACGCAGTATCGGGAGAAGAAGGCAAAAGCAGCAGCCGCATGAGGGCCCCCCCTTCCGCTCGGGCGTCGGCGCCATCTGGCGACGACAACTGAAGCGGCTGCCTTTTGCATTTCTCAATTTTCGTTTTAAGAAGAACAAGAAGAAGACTCGAATCTGTAGCTAATGGATAACAAAACCAAACTGTGTTTAGGTATTAACAAAATTTTTGTCGATTTCGTTGCGAGAAAATAAAAATAAAATAAAATAAAAGCTAAACAAACAGCAAATAAAAACTCAAAACTAAAAAACTGTTAAAGAAAGAATATTCGAAAATTTTTGCAAGCTGGCAAAGTTTATATAGACACACTACCCACATCCAGAACCACAACCACAACTACACCCTCACATTTACACAGCACACCAATACCAACACCAACACCAACACACATACACACAGACATGTCAGAACAACAAGAAGTAAAATATATTATAAATACAACATATATATATTATAAATAATGTAAAATCAAACAACAACAAATTCTTCTTATTAAATTATATTTAAATTTAAAATTAATAAATATAAAGAAAATAAAACCAAATAAAAATTACAAAAAAAAAAACAAAAAGAAAACCAACTACAAATACATTTTCGATATAAAATTAAATTTAAAACCAAAACAATGGTATATATATATGTATATATATACACGTTCCATATATATATATATATATATATATGTATATGTATATATATGCGACTTATATGCAAACGCATACATACATATGCCTGGCGCGCAGCAAAAGAGGCATATTTTTGGGGGCTCTTCGAGGGCCAGAAGGATCCCAGTCCGAAGGTCCTTGATAGACAGCTGATTTGTCGGCGATATTTGTAGCAGAATTAAGCAAAGAAATACATCTACATATATGAGCAGATTTAACATTTAGCAAAGCAAACGCTCCCCAAAGCAAAAAGCAACTAAAATACACATTTCTGTAGTATATGTATAAGGCAGCAACAACAAGCAACCAAAAATATTTACTACTATTATATATATATAAATACAAAGGAAAATCTATATATACATACAAATACAATACTAATAAAGGTAATATAATTTTACTATAAAGAAATATAAATTAAATATTTATATGCGAGACGAAGCGGAAGAAGAGCTAGACGAAGAGCAGGAAGAAGACGATTTCATCAAACACACACATATATAAGGAAGGAAGAATTATGGAGAAGGGAGAAGGGGAGCGGCAACAACAGCGGCGGCTCCCGAATAGGACAACTTTTAAGAACAACCAAAGCCGATGGCGAAGAAGCAGCATCAAAGAAGAGAAGAAGCAGCAGCTATATATACTAATATATATTTATAAATAAATTATACATATGAACAAAACTAGAAAAATGCAAAGACAATTGTCTTAAATGTAAAACAAAATGCAAACGATAGAAGCACGATCACCAAATCAAACTTAGACAAAGGACACAGAGCCAACAACTAAGCTTAGCATATATTCTAATATATAAACGTAAAGGTTTAAGTTTAAGGGAATTCAAACCAGTCGGCAAGAACCTGGCATTCTTGGCACCCACAGAAAATCGCAAGCTTTAACCTACCCGCTCTGTCTCCACACTAACCTTGCACAACCTTACAACAACACCTATCAATCTATCTGTCTATCTATCTATCTCTTTGTGTACTGCTGCCTAATGAACGAAGAAAAGAAGAAAGTCTGCGCGACCAAGGCAAACTGTCACTTGTACACAACTGTACTTGGTTTTAATTTAATTTAATATCGAAAACCTTGTTTCCTTCTCTGAACTAAACCGAAATCGTCGTGATGTCACACACACACACCCCCATACCTCGCCACCCACCCACCATCCCACTTTGATCCAAGCATCTCTTTCCAATGCTAACTCTAACTCTTCTCCACTGCATAAATCAACTGTGAGTATAACTTGAACGTTATAAAAAGAACACACACAAATCTTGCGTGTTTTCTATAATATAATAATTAAGGGAAATTTGATCTTTTATTGTTTGCTTGACTTTGGACAGGTCGCTGAAGGGCAACAATGAAGAAACTATAAAAAAAACACCATTTGCGCTAACGATATAAAAAAAACAAAAACAAGAAAAAAAACAAAAACTTTTCTATAACTTTTTTTAACAAACAAAAATGAAAACATTTTGTAGCGAAAATTTGTGCGTTTTAAAACAATGAAATTATAACACAAAATCTAAGCAAATTGCAGGCAAATGGCAAACACGAATTTTTTCAAATCTCTAAAAATGGTTAAACTCGGAATGAAAATGTAATTGTTCTAACAAAAGCAACGGCCCAGGCCGGTACAGTCAGAGCAGCGGGGATCCATTCCCTCGAAAGTATGCAGCAGAAGTGCTGGATTTCCCGATTTCAGAACGTTTCAATTCTAAACGTGCATCAGTTTTTATTTTCGTTTGCAAAACAAAAGGCAAAAGAATTAAAAGAAATACTTTTTAAAAAGAAAACACAACCGAAAATTGTTAAAATATGCAACAGCAAAAAATATGTTTTTAGCAACTTACAATATTTTGAGGGGCATAGAAACAAAAAAAAAAATGATCTACGCCTATATCTATATATTCATAAATATATATGAACAATGATAAATATACATATATATATATATATTTACGAATATTGTAAAAATTGCAACAGAACAAGAAGAAGAACGCATCAGAAAACAAATAGACAACAAGAACAAACAGAAATTTCTTTGAAAAAAATACACAAACATTTTAAAAACCTCGAAACAAAAAACAACAAATTGTCGTTTTCTTTTTTTGCAAAAAAATCTCTTATTTTATTTTGTGTTTTTTGTTGGGAACTTTTCTGGTTTCTAGATTGGCATACAAGCATTTCTACAGACACACAGCTTCATCATCCCCTCTCATTGATACGAATTGGCCAAAAGGAGACTGTTCCCAGTACTGTACTCTTGTGTGTTTGCCTTTGCTGTGGTCGATGACGAGCACGAGTTCCAAAGTCAAGTTAAATAAGTTAAGCGTAGCCATAGTCCATACATACTCGTATAAAGGCATGGACTTAAGGACTGTCGAGGATCTGCGGCCAGCCCCCAAACAGGAACTGGAGAGACCCCCAGGCACGCCATAAGCGCACTCCATTTTAATGCGATAAGAATTTAAAAAGTAATACATGTAATGTATGCCTAATAAACCACCTAACAAGAGATTTCATCATGAAGAAATTCGTCTATATATAGTAAATGTGTTACATATGTATATCGAAATATGAACGTTATTCTTGATGTCCAATATACCATAACCGTATGTACCTATAACCCAGGCAAGTAGTAGGCCCGTTCCGCACTTTTCCCCAATTTGGAATGTCCGCACTAAATGTCTACGAGAATAATCGAATCCTGTATAACCCCATATTGATACCGAAATTGAACGATTCCTTCAGTTCTTTGAACTCTTTGAATTGGTTGTCGGACGTGTTATAGATTTGATATCCGAATATGTGTGGAAAGTATGTTTAGGCCTCGAACGAATCCAATTTTAAACGATATATGTATATGGATATTATAGGGTATGCAACAAATGATATACATATAGATACTAAAGCATTTTGAGTAAATATAAAGTGTGTATAAAATTTAGTGATAGGTAATTGTTCCATGGCTTGATTTAAATATTCTTTTGGATAATCAGAAAATAATCTTAAAACACACAAGGAATATATTTTTTTTTAAATATTTTTTCAGTATTATTAATACAGGTTTTTGTTTTATTTCTGTCAGCACACACGCACCACACACACATAAACATATATATACGGACTTTTTCAAACACATTCACTGAAAACATGTACCGGGTTTTTCCGGCGATCTGAAGACAGCAACAATCGATTGAATTTTTCTTCCAACTCAAAGAAAACAAAAAAGAAACAGAATGAGCAGCTACAGTGTCTCTGCGACATCAGATTCCAATGTTTTAGCCCTAAGTGAGCATAATTGTTAAACGAGTATATAACGAGTATCGATATTGAAATACCTAAAGCTTTACCTACCACAATGTGCAGTGCAACAGTACAGCTGCAGTCATAACTACATACTAACATATATAGTCACACCAAAAGACCTAAAACCGAATCAAAACTATAATTTCACCCATAGGAAAGAACTCAACTGAAACATAACTATATGAACTGTAACTATTAAGCCCTAAATTGTAATTTAACTGATCGAAAATAATATCCAAAAACCGGAACTGAAGCCGTTTGTATCAACTAACTTCTCAAGAGACATGCGAAAAGTATTAGGGTGGTAGCGCTGCCCATAATCAGATCAGAGTTAGCCACAAACAGAGAGTCAAATGCCACAACTAATTCCACACTCGATCCGCGTGATCTGAGAGCAAGCAGAAACCGAAACGAATCTAACATAACAATTTTAATAATAATTCTATTCTACTTAACAGGCAAGAACTAAAACCAATAAAAGCAGAATATACAAATTAAATGAGAAAGTGAACTTTTTATTTGGCAAATCGTTTTCGGCGGTGTGGGCATGGCTTGTTTCGTACTGAATCATTGGGAAAATATGCAGAAAATGAACCATCCAAGCGGAGCCTGTGATTTTGTTGCCTTAAAATGTTTCTTATAGGGATGAAAGAAGTGAATACAAGATATTCTGCATTCCAACCTACTGCAGTACAACATTGCGTATACGTGATGGCATTCCGCCATCACCATCCGCCATCATTAAATATACATTACATGTTACATGACATGACATTTGTACTACGTCTGAATTTCATGTGTGTTTGTGTATTTCCAAAAAAGCAAGGACAGGACGAAGGATAGAAATCGGAACATCAGAGCCGAAAAGCTTTTCTTCAACGCTAACAGAGTCGAAAAGCTTTTCTGAAAAGTTAACAGTGCCAAAAAGCTTTTCTGCACTTTTTACATCCGTATGTACTTGCCGAGTCTTACATTCATACTAACTACATGTAGAGAAAGAACGTGGAGGATGGATGCTAAGCGATAGAGAGTCTCGCATATTTGTAAGGTGGGGTTGGGGATGGATGGGTTGGGGGGTTGAATGGGTATTTTGTTTGTTTTGCTTTGCTTCGGCCTTTGTCGTTGTTATTGGTGTCATCGTCGGCGTTGTCGTCGGCATTTGGCATCGTGTTATTTTTATGCCCGCACGAGAAGCTGTCGTCTTCCTCTGCCTTTTCGTCTTCTGGTTCCCACCGAACGTCCGTATCGTGTCTGCGGCTGCACTTCCACTTTCCGCCTTCGTCTCAGTCGTCAACAGGACATCGAGCAGTGCAAGTCGACTGGTCGCACGTGGATGTAGCGGATGTTGTTGGTGTAGCCCCCGTTTTGCCGTTGGCGTTGCATTGACAGTGAGTGAAGTAGAGTGCAGTTTTGGATTTTGTAAAGTTTCGATTTGTTGTCGTTGTCGTTGTCGTTGCCGTTGCTGTTGTCGCTGCTTCTGGCTGTATCCCCGTGTCCTTGTCCTTGCGTCTCGTGTGTTATCCATAGCCTTGCTCACGGTCAGGTGCCACAACCCCACACCGCACCCCTCCACCAGCTCATCCGCAAGCTATTCACGAGTGCACTCAGGTCGCAGTCCTTACCCAGCCTCCGCCAATTGAATGCAAAAGTTCAGGCTATTCCGAGCGCTAAAAGCCACCCTTCCCCCCACGAAGATATTTGGAATCCATGCATTAGAATTAACGTAAACTGCCTGGGATCGACACACACAAGAGCCGGAAGGAGGCTGCGGCTGAGGCTGCCATGCCACACCACTGCCACATGTCATAAGTCAACTACAGGGCTGCTGCTCCTCTTGTCCACACGCAGCTCTGGGACAGAGCGGATGCCGCTGCAATATGCATTTATCCGCTCAGTAAGGGAGTGAGTGCGAGGGAGAGATGAGCGAACGCTGCAGCGGAGGCACCGTCACCGGTGGCCGTCATGCCCGGGTCAGTCCCACGCCCGGACGTGGCAGCAAGATTGCGTACACGCCATGTCCGCGCTCCGAGCCGCCACAGGATCTGGCACTGGCAGTGCCGGCCCCAGCGCGCAATTGCCTGGCCATACCCATGTCTTCGCTGCAGACGGCCAACGGACCCAGCAACAAAGGTAAGTGGGGGTCAGGGTCATGACAATCAAATAAAGAAGAACAAGAGATGAAATCCGGTAAATGTGTCTTATCTGACACTAATAGGGCTAATGAGCACAGCGGACACGCTTTTGGCATGCCATTGTTATGTCTGTTCTCTTTGGGCTCTGATCTGTTCTGGGTCTGGGCCTCAGCATCCGATCGAACCATTTGTGCCCGGCAATCAAAACGAATAATTGCGAAAATAGATGTTTGCCTTAGCTTCTGTTTTTCCGTTCCTTTTCTTTCCTCTCCCATATTTGTCCCCCTCCTTTATTTCATTTTCCCCTTCGAACATGCGAATTTAAATGCAACTTTTTGCAGCTGGCGATGGGTGGCACGTGACTTTGATTGCCATTTCATTGTCTTCGGCAATCATCAAAACAAAATTTGTGTTTTTCTTTCCACAAATACAAACAGAGCGTAGAGCGGTAGAGCCGCAGAGCGTTAGAGCGTTAGAGCGTTAGAGAGGGAAAAAGACATTTTGGCCAAAGACCGACGCCGTCTGGCGTTTCAAAATCGATTGGCAATTTCTCAGAGCTGATTGCAACCACACGAAACAGCGGCAGCCCCACAACCCGCAAAGTTTATATTAAAGATCACAGAACTAGATTTGATTGCCACCAAAATAGATTTCAATGAAATTGTTGGTGTTCCCGTAGTAAGCTACAGTAAGGGTGAAATTATTTGGTTATTTAAATGCCCGAGCTGCTGTGATCTTTAGGCTGCCGCAAGGATTGACTCATTATGTGGATACATATGTATCTCCTTGATCAGCATGAAAAGACGAGCTGACATAGCCATTTCTACTGCTTATTGTCAAACTAGAATCTCTTCTGAGTCTGAAATCAGACAGATTGGACACTATATCATTCATGGGATTCTCGCAGTCTGCAGTTTGCCTACCACTTTTTACCGCCTGAAATCACCAGCGATCTCGAACCTGTTCTCACATATGAAAATAAATACTTAATTAATAGCACCGACTACGACAGAAACAGAAAAAGAGTTGCAGCAAAGGCCAATGCCAGAGCGTGTGCTACTCATAAATCTGGCACCAATCTCTTTGTCTCTTCTGTCTCTGATTAATTCATACTTTGCCCAGGTGGCCAGAAAAAGTCAATAAAAGGGGTAACGTACAGCCCCCTTGATCCTTCCTGCTGCTACCCCCTAACGTAGGAAGCGGAAACGTTCGCTCCGCGTGCAACGCTGCGTATGATTTATGCAGCGTTTCAGAAGCTGTTGCATATGCATGAACATCATTTGTACAGGTGAGCAGAAGGAGCAAGAGAAGCAGAAATTGCAACAACCGCAATGCAACAATGGGAAATTCCATAGCAAAAACGCAAACAAACAGTAAATTGAAAAGCCAACTAGAAGGAAAGGCAAAGGCAAAGGCATCCCACTCACGAAACGGGAGCAGCCAAACTTGGATGCTCTTCAGGGGCAAAGAGACCTTTTGGCTATAGAAAGGGTATCCCAGCAGCAGCAACAATCATTGGGTGGGTGTTGCTTTTTTGGATCTCTGCCAAACATGGACGAAACAGGAAGGACGGATGGACAGACTCAGCCTCAGCCTCAGCTTCAGCCCGGACAATGACAACATTGATAACTAGCTGGCGACACGGCGGCACCCCACTTCATTTATCAAAATTTATGACTCTGCCAACAGCCGTACAGCAATTGCATCGGCAACAAAGATGTAGATTGCAACTGTCACTGCCATTGCCATTGCCACTGCCACTGCCACTGCAGGTGTTTGTTTCTTTGGCTACTTTCAGAACTTTGGCTCCATCCATTGATACATTTTTTGAAGTATTTTATGTGGCGGTTTGTGTCTCATCCTTGGACCCTGTCCATGGGGGTCAACCATGCGATTGCCAGTGACAGGCAAGGGCCAAAGCCGCAGTAAGGTCAATCTCATTACAGCTGACTCACAAAGAAATAAGTAGCCGGAACAGACCTCAGCTTTAGCCAAATGCTATTCTGGCAGGTATCGCATTCAAAGATCATCGCAGTCTAAGTTGGGGATAAGAGTTCTCTGATGCAATTGAGTCTATCAAAATGTTTTGGCTACGTACAATATTTAGCACAGATTTTCCCCATGAAATGCCTTTCCAGAGAAACTTTCTTTGTAAATTAAACCATAAATATTTCTTCGCTCACTTTCGGCTTGGGTTAATCTTTGGGGCTTCCCCCTCGATTTCATGCTCTATTTAGTGCCCAAGTACCCCGACATTCTCTGGGCCGTTCCCTTCCTTCTTGGCTTCCCCTTTTCCATCACATTTAATCCACTTGGCAGCCTTTTTCCTTCACGCTCAGATTTATTTATGCAGAAAGCAAAAATGCCATAAAGAAATATGCTGGCTATTTATGTACATTATATTGTACATATTTATGTGTGACGTATATGTGAGGGCTCAACGATTTCCAGGGAAATCTAACAATAAAAATCTTTAATGCATATGCCTGGCTAAGGACTCCATAAAACCCTTTTTGAGCCACAAAATGTATTCATTTACGATGGCGGAGGTGAAGCCTCCCCTTTCCATACACGTGGAATTTATGGCCTGGCCGCGCTCACAGTCGCGGTAATACCACCTTCTTCTCTGGCCTTTTCTGCCGTCGAATGAATGATGAAGAAATGCGCAAATAAAATGAATGCCAAAGCATGAATCCTGATGCTGCAGAACCCATTTCCGACAACGCCTGCCTACTCTCCAGCTGAGGATGCATTCAATGGAGAGTCACGTAAATGAAAGTCGGTAGGGGAGGCTCTCAAAAGTACAAATAAAAACCTATGTAAATTGTCTCCACAAGGCAGTAACGGAAGGCAGTCGCCTCTGCTATAGATCTTCATATAATGTGGGAGTTTTGTGATGTTTATTCTGTACGAGCTCCCTATCTAAAAGTTCCCAGTTGTGGGAATAGTTGATTGATGCATGAGAGATATGCCTATGAAGATACAGGCATAAATTATACGCCTGTTGTGTATTGAAGATTCAAGGAGCGGGGAGTGCTGTTCCGATTTGTTGATGTCGGTCTCCAGAGATATCGATTTGATACAAATGCGCTCCTATAAGCCTCTTTAAAACCCTCCTCAGTAGTTTTCCTTCCCAGAATAAGCCGAAAAAGATGGAACTGGAAAATTACCTCAAGTCGCGCTAGCAGTTATGCAAAAGAAAATTGGTCGGAAAAGTTTCACTCTTCTTAATCCAAGTACGTCTTTGCCTCTGTGCTGCCTCTCATTTGTTTAATTTTGCATGATTTTGTGCCATTTTCTTGGGAAAACTTTGTGCGGCATGCAAATGCAATAAGGAAAGCCCAAGAAGAAACTAAATTGAGTTTCCATGTTGGACAGACCCACACAGAAAGGCCGCCATTATGCATACACAGATACGCTCTTAATGCCGCTTATTAGAGATGAATACGGTGCTGTTAAAGTGAAAAATCGCTGACACCAGGCAGAGGGAGCTGCTCTTAATAGCTCTTCACCCTGGCATTCCCTCTCCCTCTGGCGTTGGTATGCCTCTCACAATCTGTTGGTTTTGCGACAAAGTTTCGGCATTCGTCACTTGAGCGGTGGTGATAAGCTCTTCTGATGAGCCTGAGCCTGATCCGGGGCCAAGCCCAAGGACGCACAAAATTAGTGGAAGTCGGTGACGGGGGGGCGGAATCTTCATCTTTGCGGATAATTGATTTGTGGCAATCGTTCAGGATGATGAATGCTTCTGGGAAAATCTCACAAAATACACTTTTCGAGCTATGTGGCGGACATTTTTCAGATACTCTAAGCCTCCCAGAAGCCTCCCCAAATCTCCCACTCCCCATGGCACAAGCAGGGGTTTTCCATGAAACCGATAAAACAATTCTAGTCCATAATTTGCAGCAATTGACCAAATTGAAAGGACCACAAACCAAATTGTGGGCGACGTATGCGGTGGATTTCAAGGCCCTATATGCGCCCCTGAAAATATGCCACAAAAATGTATGACACCAGTCCATGGAGAGAGTGTGTGCGTGAATGATATTTTATAGGGGAACAGAGAGGGAAAACAAAGAGCATTTTTGTTTATTGTTCAAGGAAGTAGCTGATAACCAGCTACGAGTATGTTGATTTAAATTAACTTTAAAATTGTATTTATTTATTTACTAAGTATTTCGGATCCGCGCAAAATATTTCCGCTTCTTTGGACCCCCCACGAAGACATTTTCCATAAATTTGTGTAGAAATAAATTTCTCAATTTAACGATTTCCATTGTTGTGGATTTTTGTGAATTATTACTTGCCAGCAAGATATGTTTTTTAGCGGAGCCATAAATATCAGGGCCTGCCGTTGTCTGAGCCCTGATTTCAGCGCTTATTATGAATAATGACAGCAGAAATTAATTTGGGATTTGGTGTGGTGTGGTGTGGGGTTGCTTGGAAAATATGAAAAGAAGTTCGCATTTGATTGACATGCAACTTGGCCTTTTTTATCAGCGTTTGAGCCAAATTTATGGCTGGCTGCACGGGGCCCAGTTATCAATCAGAACACCTTTCCCAGGTATGCCTTTCCGTCAGTTTGCTGACACCTGTTGAGAGAGCTGCACCACGTCCGAAATGTATCGCAACGCCGTGCAGAAGTTCTGGGACATGGGCCAATTCAATCCGGGCTTCGAATTTGACTCTGACGCCGTCCTCGAGTGCGAGCGGACCCACACGAAGCGCAACAAATTGGCCACCCTGATGAACTGGCTCAGGCAGTTCAACGAGCCCCCCTCAGAGCCCCTCAAATGCGACCATATGAGTGAGTCTACATCTTCCACATATATTTCCATGTGTATGCGGTATGTGGGATGCCCACCATCGTGGGGGCTGCCTTTAAGTGCAAACCAATTTCATGTAAATTGTGCAAATGCTCTCCAACATTTTGTGCGTGCTGATGGTATTTTCCTATGGCCTACAGGCGGATGCGCGGGCGGGGGGAAACAGCACTGA